AAACCAGCTGCTCATTTTTGGAACGGTTAACTATTTGCTGATTTTACAATTAAAAATGACTTCAGCTATTACTCAAAACCTATTGTGACTGTAGCAGTGATGCTCTTTTTTTTTTTTTTTTTTTTTTAAATGATTTTTTAGGATTGCTGCCAGTGTGCTCATTTCACAGCAAAGCTGCTGTTGCCTAATTAGTGACAGAAAATGCCAATGCTTTCATCTGAGGGAGAAGAATCAACTTTTTAATACCACATCACTGATTAAAACCAACCTTGTTGACGTTTAGGCAGTTGATTTGAGGCAGTGGTCAAAAGCAGAGCTGCAGCGTGTGAGTGCAGATACCTGTTGTAGCCGTGTGCTTTAGGACAGGTTTATTTAGGTCTAGTTAGACTGCTTTTCCAGCATTGCTCTTCAGCTTGCTACTGCTTTTACAATGCAAATGCTTACTTTTTAGGGCTGACTTTACCATACAGACTGTGCTGTTGTTCAGGGAGCAGGAATATTCATTTGAATGAATGTGTGTTGCTGAAGCCTCTAGCAGGGCTGTGATCTGAGGGGTTTATCCAGTATTCTCAAGTTCCCTACCAATGCTATCATTTATTTTTCATATGTAAAAGCAAATTTAATGCATTTGCATTCATGCAACTTTTCTTTTAGATTTGAATTCATGCTGTGCAGTTAGCCTGGGCTTGACGTTATCTAACCTTCTTACCACCAGTGACTGGATACCCCCTTTATGTGTTTATCTCATTTAGTCTGTTAGCATGGATGGCTGATTTTTATTTTTGACAGTAATGGTGTCATGCCAGGTAGTGTTTGCAGTGATTTCCAAGGGATGAGAACGTGGAGGTGCTGACATATTGCTATAAACCTGAGCTATCGGTGCTCCCTTGCAGCAAAAAGCGGCAGCTCCTGGAAATAAAGGCAAATGAGCTGTGCAAAGCCCAGTGATTGTCATAAAAAATGGAAATAATCTTAGATATATACGTAGTGCTTTCTAGTGCAAGCACTCATTTTCTATAAGGCAAGCATACGGCTTAAAAATTAATAACCTCATTGATTGCATAGTTCATTAGAATATAATTTTTAATGGTAACGTATATTGTATTCTGTATTGAACAGCTGCTGTGGGTCACAGCAAAGCAACTGGTTGATGTGTTGCTCAGAACAGCTCAGGGTCTGCCCAGTGTGACCATGGGAAGCTTTCTGACAGCTTTCTGCAGTCTGGAAGTTTCCTTCCCAGAAAAAATTTGCCTCTTATCTGTAAGAGAAGCCCTTGCTGCATTTGTAAACGGATAGGAATTGAAAGACAATATTGAATAGAAATTAAATATGACTTTTTGTTGTAAAGGATTGTGTATAACTTGATAATTTCTGAAAAGTCTGAGGAGGAGGAACAGATGGAAAGGATATATATAGGGCTGTCTCTCCTTTAAGAGGAGAAGGTGGGAATGGGTGGGAAATCCAAAGCCTTAGAAAGCAGCTGTCTGAACTGTTCCTTGCTTTCAAGCCAGCTCAGGAAAAGATTTTCTTTTTCTAATCTAAGGAAAGAAATGTACAGCTTATGTGGGCTATTTCTTCTCATGAGCTTGTATTTGTAGCCTCATTCATTCACGTAAAGGGGATTTTTCTCCAAAGAAGCACGTGTCACAGTTTGGCTCAGTGTTTGGCTATTAGATCATTTGTGGTAGTGGTTCTGATTTAACCCCCGTGTCTTCTGGGGCCAAGTAATTGATTTTTGCTTTCTTGGATTCAGAAATTGCACTGAATAGCAGTGTGACTGAACACTGGTTATTTAGTATGAACTTTGAGCAGAGAGTAGAATTTGAAGCTTGACTGCTTGGTTGTTTGTTCCGCTGTGAATATTCTGCTGCGTGTTTTTTTGTTTTTTTGTTTTTTTTTGTTTTTTTTTTTTTGTGAGGAGGAAGGTGTGATTTACCCTCCTTCAAAAGCTGGATGATCTTTACGCTTTGCTGAGAGTGAGTGGAAGTATTACTTAGTCCAAAGATCACTATGGTGGCAGTAGGGCCATTTATTTCCTACCCTGCACTTCCTCATCCTTCATTACTGTCAAAAGCCACGGGCAGTGTGAGCAGCTTGAGAGGAGCAGAAGACATTGTGGATACCTCTTTGCTTGTATTGATCCTGTATTTGCAGCATCTTAAAGGCTCTTTCCTTAGAGAGCATTAGCTGCTCTGAGTTAAGAAGTTACTGCAACTCCTGAGCTCTGAAATGGAAGAAATCAGTTGAAGTTGAACTGTTTTTGTGTTGTGAGGACCTGGCATCATGCACTTGGGTTGCACACTGCTGCATGTGGTCCAGAGCGCTCTGCTCTAAGCACTGGTTACAGCTTCACTTCTGAAATGCAAAAGAAGATTCCCTTAGAGGTGTGTCTGGTTTGGTGATTGAAAGCTTTTTGGCTTAATGGAGCATTCATAATTACCCAACCAGCCTGTCAAAGTGTATCATATTATGTAATTTGGTGTACAGTTCAACCATTTGAAAGCACTGTCGATCTTTGAAAAAGGTCTGGAGGTGATTTTTTTTGTTTTGTTTTGCTTTGTTAAAAGAATGAAGTAGAGGGCTTTTAGCAGGGGTTCCTTTTGTATGTTTGGTTTTCTCTTGTATTTGATTTCTGAGGCAGGGTAAAGCTGTCCAAGCTTTGTTAAAGGCATACTTGCATAGTTGTGCCTCTTCACTGCTTCTAATGACAGCAGTACCACTGGTGACTTGGAGCTACCAGTGGAATATGGTCTGCTTTTCCTGCACTCGGCTGTTTCTCTCCCAAGGGCTTGGAGCAGATCAGATTTGCTGCCTTGTTCATGAAATCGTTTATTATGCTGATGTTAGTGGTGTCTCTTAAACTTCCCCGAATAAATGCCTTTTCTTTCCAGAAGGTTGCATAAATGTTTACTTATGAATATATAGAGAAGTAGTCTGGTGGGTGGCAGAATTGTTTCCTCGCCTACAGGAAGGTGCAGTTTAAGTACAGACAATTTATTGTCTCATCCTACTGTCTGCCCCTGTCCCTGCTGCTGGACAGGGCTGAAGGATGGCAGCAGAGCTGGCTGTCACAGCGGAGATGCGTTTTGCCCCTTGGCAAGGCTGGCACTTGGTACAAGTCATGTCCGTCTGTCAGCTCCTGAGGCAAAATGATGACAGCCGTGAAGTATTTGCAGGCTGGGCTCTGCCCTTCCAAGCACCAACCAGCTTGTGCTTGGGCTGTGCGAGCAGGGAGGGCAGAAGTGCATTTTCAATGTAGTCTGTAGGTAAAAGGCAGCTGAGATGACTGAATAGTTTGTGTCTGAAGATTTCTGTTGTTTACTGTGAAGTCTAAAGTGTTGGGTTGTTTTGTTTTTGTTTTTTTTTTTGTTTTCCCTATATGGAGAACAGCGTGCAGCAAGGTGTCTCGTGAGCAGAAATCGGGTGATAATGGAGTTATCCAAAGGAGTGTGACTTCATTGCCTGTTTTTACTGTCACACATTAGTTTGATGCATGCATCATCTTCACTTTTGGACAGGCACATGGTGCCTATGTTAATGATCTTCCTCACTGCTGTCCCTGTTAAGGGTGGGCTAAAGGGAGAATGTTGATCTTTTTTCCATCTCCGTGCTTTTTCTGGCCCCTGTTATTCTTTTAGGTATGTCCTAAGGGGCTTAGAGGTCATACTGCTGTGATGGTCTCTAAGCTGGATCAGTGTTTAACTTCCCGCTGTGGCATGTTATAGGAGCTTCTCATTGTTGTAAACGGAAATATCACTAATCAAGGATAACTGTAATAAGGTTATTGCCAAATAGGCTTTGTTGGAGGCAGTGGTTAGTAGCCTGAAATGAAAGAGACAGAGCTAATCCTGAGATGTGAGAAGCAGCTGCTAGAATTGTGTATGCGATGGCTCAGGGCACTGTGCACATGAAATCGTGTTACCATTGCAGCTTTCCTGTTGGTTTGCTTTCCCCTCATGAAGTGTTTTCAGTTGTTGGTAGATATGAAAGGGCAATACCCTCCCTTCCCCACCTTTTCTCTGTGACAGTCTTGGTTTTTGCAGTATTTGCTAAGAGTTTGTTGTTGATATCACCCTCTGATTCTGAAGATACGTGTATATATATCAGATTAAACTGTGTAATGAGAAGATTATTTTAGCTTCTGAATGTTCTGTTGATCATGACCAAGATACTGAATGTGTGATAGTTTGGATAAAATATTGATTGTAATTTTCTATGAAGGCGGAATCAAGTGAAGTTTGTAGGAGGAAGAAGCCAGCATTTTATTTCACTGCAGAATGTTAAATATTTTTTTAAACATCCAGTTAGTCAAAATCTTTAGTTCATTTCTGGGCATGAACAGAGAAACTGCCAGGTGGTATGGGGATGGAAGAAACAAGAACGGAAGGACTAGAATCAAATGGTGGCTGCAGGGCATTTCTATATGGAGCTTTATTTTCTTTGCTATTCATGCTTTCCTTTCTTCCTTGTCAAAGCACGATAACATCAGTTTAACGCTTTTTCACGTTTATAGTGTCTCTCTGCTCATAATCATTCTCATTAAACCAAAGTGTGAGGAATGATGCGGGCGCTGTTGGGGTTGATGCTGACAGACTTTGCTGTTTCAGAAAGTACAAAAACATTGACTCATTTAACTGCCCTGTAGTAAATAAGTGGTAGACAATCCTCTGTGAAGGCTTTGCATTTGATTTCAGTGCGTCCTTTCAGTTTCAGAGGTGAAACAAGACCGTTTGGTATGTAACAGATCTGGTAATGCTGACTAAATTGGCTGAGGTGACTTCACAGAGATTCAAACTGCAGCTTGCCTGGAGCTTGATTTTTTTGAAAAGCACATGATTTAGTTTTTAATTTCAAACGTCAGTATGAATCCATTTTATCCACTTGCTCATGCAGATGATGGGTGGTGTAGCACAAGGAAGAAACTCACCTTTGACTAGATGACAGTGACCTGTTTTCCTCCTGTATGGTGCTGTGCTGTTGGCTCCAATCTGTACAGGGCTATGCCCTCTGATTCTGTTGGCTTTGATGCCTGGGTTCGTTGGTTGCTGGAACTGAAGTCAAGCCTGTTTCATAACCTCGTGTTTCATGGTCTGTCCCACTTTAGTCTTCCATGTCATTGTGCTGGAGTTATCCATATAGGTATGGAGGAGGTTGGCACCCTGTGTCCATGTGCTGCAGCTGCAGGCCAGGGAACTGGCTTTGCATTGTGCATCTGCTCCACTGTTGGAGTGGACATAGCTTGGTGAAAGAGTAAGTGCCAGCACTGAGTTTTGATCGATTATCTTGGCTGGGGGAGAAGGGGAGAAGTAGTACTGAGATTTTACTTGATTGAATTTTAATCTTTAAATTAGTAAGACTGTGAGATTTCCTAAGCTACAATTTTAGAAGAACTGTTATCATTTTGATAAACAAAGACTAGGAACATTTTGGAGTCAAATATAGAACAAATTGATGTTTGAAATGATGTGTTGTACATCTGCACATATTTTAAAAAAAACCTTAATGTTGTTCTGGATCTTACCCCCCTTTCCTCGTGTTCATCTGTGTTCTATTTTCTTCCTTTTGCATCTATAATTACATGCATTATTAGAACTGGCAAGATGAGCACCTCCAGATGCATCCTACAGGAATCCAGCCAATGCTGACTCTATTCCCATGTTAGATGACATGCTAAGTCAGTGAAGCTTGATTGTCAAAATCCATTCCCTTTCTACTGTGCTTCTAAACCCATCTTCTCACGTAATGTTTTGACACAGGGTGGCCATTATTAAGCTCAAAAAATATCCCAGACTTAAGGAGGTTTCTTTTAGTTTATTGAACTAAAATACTGTTAAAAGCAGTATTTTGAAATAGTGCTATTCTAGTACTATGGAAAGCTTGTCTTAATCTTCTGTCAGATGAAACAACTCGGTGGGTTTATAGTCTGTCACTTTGAACCTTTTACTTTTTTTATGATTCTTCAGATGTAAAGACAAGAATCAGTGCACTTAGTAAACATAATGCATTTAGTACTGTTATTTCTTGCAACTAGATAACAACAACTTTTCCTTTTGCAGAACTGCATATCCATTTTATCCATTATTTTACAGGTATCAGGCAACAGCTTGTCAACATTGCTCCTTCTACAGAATCTTTTCCTAACTGGAGAACTATACTATCACCAACATGGCCTTCCACAGAAACTAAGACTTCCTCTGTCGCTGATATTTCTATGGGACAGACTTTGGAGAATGCGAATTTGCTTCAGATGATAAAAACAACACTGACTGGCACACATACAAGAACTTTGGATCAAACAAGCCTGTCTCCCACCCTTTATCAAGGCAGTGGAAGTAGTGCATCGCAAGAACCTGCTGAAGTTTCTGCTGAGTCACCCCTGAGGTTGTCATCTCAAGATCAAGATGAAACAGCTGTGGAATCAGGTTTGCCTCAACTCGGTATGTTTGCCACATTATCCACTATACCATCAGTGACACATTTGAGTACAGCTGTGCCATTTCAGCTAACACCATTAGAAACACTTTCCATTTCAAAAGAAAGCACATCAGGACCAGACATGCTTGCTGCTGTTCCATCTCCATTATTTTCTTCATTGGCAAAACAGTCACCTCATACCATTAATTTTTCTAAATCAGCTGTACTGGCCTTCAGAGTTCCTCTGTCTGCAGAGCCTGAAAGTTCCTTCAGCACAGATTCGACCAACTCTCAGGTTAGTGAAAGCAGAAATAGTCCTTTAAGTGTGGTCAGTGATGTAAGTTCCAGTATGGTGAATCAAAGAAAGGGTCCTGAGTTTTTGACGGGCACCATGTCTTTCAATCTCTCTGGATCAACAGTGCATCCCGCCAATATAGTGGGAAAAGAGTTTCCTTCAGGAAGGACCTCTTTTTTATCAGAATACTCTAATACTCCTGTGTCAAAAATGTTACATCAGTTTTCTATGCCAGTAACTTCCAGAAGCATGTTATGGTTTCTGAATGAAAGTATGCATAATGTAGCTTCTACTGGAGTGAAACCCAATAGTCAGTCATTTAAGCCTCTGATTGGCAGAAATGATGTTACTCCTCTGTCTCCACCAGTTTTTCAGAATAAAGCAGAGGTTCCAGCATTATTCTTCCATCCTGTGGGTGCTCCACATAAAATGCCTCAGATGAGTCATCATCAGTCTTCCACAGCACTTAGTAATTGCACTACAGGCTCTACCACTGCACCTTTCATGTCATCAGCTTCCCAGAGCCTGGCTGAGGTCTCCAGCTCAACAGAGAGCATGCCTTCCCTTTTGTTGCCAAAATCATTTATTCCAGATGCAAAGCACGCTCACAATGCAGTGCTGCCAGTACCAGCATTTAGAAGTGAAACAGATTTTCTTTTTAGAAATGCAACACACTCCTCTTCAGCAAGCACAATGCCTCCTTTGCTAACTGAGACAAATGAGCTTACCTCTGCTAAGATAGCACACGCAAACAGTCTAAGCACAGCAACGGCCAACAAGGGTATTTTGCAAATCCCTTCGGCCGTTTTTTCGCCGCACTCAGTGGTATTTCTGAACTGGGCTTTGACAGAAGACCTCACTAATGGAGCTCATGAAGCAAATGGCATGCTGTTGCCTACTGCTTCGTCACAAACCGTCCCATATTCTGATGGCTCTTCTGTGGTGAGAACAACTCAACAGTTTTTGACAAGATGGGTGACAGCAAAAATATCCACAGACTCTAACCCTGGTTTTGTTCTGCCTTATGGCTCTCAGCTTTCCAAAGTTTCTCCCGATATCCATGTCAGCAAATTCTCCAGAGAGTTAAAGCTATCAGGAACTGCTTTGGAAACGGGAATGGCTGCTCCTGGTCTTGCTGCTATTACAGGACTTTCAAATTCTGAGCTTGCTGTCACGAGTACATCTGCTACTACAGGTATCTCTGGAACTGTGCATCTTCCATCTGTTGATGCAGACAGAACTGCAGATGAAGACAGAAGTATGGGAGTACCCACTGTTGTAACCCCACACGGAGACTATTCACCACCAAGAACCTTGTCTCAGCCTCGTTTTTCCTTGGGTTGGACTTCACGTTCCGTTGATGCAGAGCAGTTAGTCTCTGTGCCTCCAGCACGGACTACCCTGCCATCCTTTGTTTCCATGACAACAGTGAGTGACAGCCACGGCTCAGGTTTCTCTGGGATTTCAAGTGCAGCCTCTGAAAGCAATATAGCTCCAGTCAGCTCTCCCAAACTTGCAGTTTCACCTTCTGTGTGGACTAACACAGTGTCTTTGTCCTCAGCTGACACCAGCATTTCTCTGGTAAAAAATTCAGTAAAAGCGGCAGTAAGAGAAGTTCCTCTGAGTACTTCTACGTCAGCAACTGAGTATCATTCGCTGTATTCAGTAGCTTCAGGTCTGCAAAAGAAAATGAGAACAAATAATCAGCTGCTTTTCTTTGCCCCTTCAGCAAAGTACACACACACAGTGTCTGGTCACAATGCTTTGCACTTACCTGTCACTGGAGCAAAGCTAGACAGTTTTCCAGAAGTTGTTACAGATGTGTTTGCACTGAAAACATCTCCTGTCCTGCATCCATCCCTTACTACCATAATTCCTGCCACCTTGCAGAAGAAGAATGGAAACACAGCTGAAAACACAATTAATTTCATCACCACTGGGGACATTGATACCAGTGCACAGTATGAAGCACTGCTCCATTTGCACGTGCTTCATGTTAATGATACAGGTGTTTTTCCCAGCTCTCTAGAATCACAAACAACTGGTGCTGGAAAGATGACTTTACTGGCAAAAACCTTTAACACAACAGCAGTGTTGGCTTTTCAGCTCCTTGACAACTCATCTCTTTCAGCCAGCTATGAAATTGGTGCTGCCCGCAGCACGCTGCCAACCAAGCCTCCTGTTCCTGTAACCAAGCCTTTTAGCTCAGCTCTCTCACATAGTTCTGTTACAGAAGAAGATGTTGGTTCTGGAAATCTGGAGTTTATTGATAGCCAGTTAGAGTCCTCTGGTTATTTGGTCGTGGCTGATAAAAATCCAGCTATATTAAGTGTGGAGGATTTGGGCACAAGTGCTATGAGGCAGAGTCTAGATTCCACTAGTATATCTAATAACGCCACTACGGGTGTGCCTTTGCAAACCCCTTCCATCAGTGCTCTGCAGTCAGTCATCATAACTTCTGTCCATCCATTACCAACACAACTAACTTCTGCTTTTTTTTCAACAACCAACTTTACCCGTTCTGTCATTACAGTGTTATCTGGAGTGTCTTCTGGTGCAATACCTACGGTAGGAACTTCAGAGGCAAAACCACTAACAAGAAAATCATCTCCAGCTTCACCAGTGCCAGCTTCTTCCTTCTTGTCGCTAGGCACTGAAAACACACCTTTGCCATCTGTGGTGGCTTTAAACACTCCGGTACTGACACTAACAAAAAATAACACTGCCACAAAATTAACCTCAGCTCTAAGTTCAGTAGGAGCACATACAGATCTTCCTTTTGCAACAAGAAACACAGCTGCCTCACCTGTGGACATGACAGCTATGTTTATAACTCCTAAAAGCAGCGGTGTCGTGGCTTCCACGCCTGCACCCGCAGCACACGTACCAAGGCAGATAAAAACAACAGTCACTGACAGCCAGAAATTCCCAAGCTCAGAAATCACCAAAACATCAACCCCATATCCACTGACAATTACAGCAGCTTTGACATCTATTACAGCATCAGCGAAAGCAACTAGGCTTCCCCCTACTCGAGTGGAAAACACTTCTGCTCCTTCAGAAACAACAGCAGCAGCATCAGCTTTTGCTAACATGACTGCAGCTCCTCCTCTGGATTGCCGGCTCTCCTGGAACCTAATGGTTAAAACGGGTATGTGGGGCTGCTGAATTTGCTGAAAGGCTCTCTGTTGTTTGCGAGGGCCACCGGGTGGAGAAGGCAAAATGTACTCAAGTGTCAAAGAATGTGGGGGAGTGGTGATTAGCTGAGGGACTGGGCTACTGCATTAGAGAAACCGACAGATAATGGGTGTGGTGGTTAGGAATGGTACTGACCTTTTTTGTCGCTCAGATTTTACAAAGAATGTTTTAAATGAATCAAGGCTGGGTGTGCTGAGGTTCAGCAGTCATTGCAGTGGTCTAGCAGAGCCACATAGGTGGAGGCACAGCCACGTTGTTGTGATGGTTTGGTTTCTCCTTGTCAAAGGGGTCTGTGTTACTGAAACAGATACTATAGTAACCTCAGTCTTTTGTCCTCTTTGCCTATAAAAACTGGATTAAGTATTCATACGAATACCTAATTCTATCATTAAAGATTCACTTGAAAATAACTTCTAGTATTTAAAGTTGTACAATTCAAAATAAGAGGATTTTGAGCTCACTGCATGAACAGAACACCATCTTATAGCTCTAAGAGCAATCTTTTACAGACTGCTATTCCATAATTTTAACAGCCCTATAATAAATAGGTCTGGAGAGAACCCTTGCCCAGGCTTCCTATGAACTCCTTATGGTAGCACAGGGCAGCGCCAGCAAATGTGCGTATCTGGAAGACGCAACCAAAGAATTGTAAAAGGATTTATGAGCATATATAATCCTAGGTGATACTGGGGGACAATGAAATAACTGGATTTAGTAGCTGCTAAATATTTATACTTCTAGCATAATGAATGGAACGATTATTTCTAAAGATAGAAGTAGCATGTATACAATATGACTGGAAATACGTCAGTGCAGCTATAGAACTCTGCAAATTATAAGAGAAAAAGCTACTGAAAATGTAAGCAAACAAAGTGTACAGACAGTTGGTAAATTGCAAGCAGTAGCAACAATGAAGTAACTTATTTTTTGTTTAGCTCTGGTTGTGAAGGAATGAAGTGGTCATCCTTTACGGGAGCCTCCCTGTGTAGCAGCAGCCCTGTCCTCTGGAAAGGCTGCAGGCAGTCAGACATCATCGTAGCTCACTCAAAGGCATCACTGCAAAGTCTTGTTGCTAAAGGAATCACAAGGGTTTGACTGTGCTCTGGAGCAGTGGGTTATTGTCACAGGAACAGTGGTGACCTTGGGGGGCACTGCTGAGCCCCAACTGTTCTGGACTAAGCTCCAGTCTTGGAGCTGCTGCAAATCATAGATTCCTTCTTCTGCAATCTCCACCACCCTGTCCCAACACGAAAGAACTGAAAAAGGAGGCAATAGTATATTAATGCTTCAAACTAACATGAAGTTTTTGCCATTTTGCAGTTCTGTTTCTGAACACGAGGAGGATGATGATCAGCAAATCCTTCAAGGAGAGTGTGACAAAAGGGCTTAACCAGGCGCTGAGACAAGCTTTCAACCAAAATGTCAGCACTCAGGTAAGCGGGCCTGACTTGGCTGCGTGAAGAGAAATGATAAACATTTGTAACTAAGTGGATCTTGTGTTAGTGGCTGCAGCCTTACTACAAGCTTCAGGTGTGGGCATATTTATTCCCATTTAGATGCCTTCTTTTTGCTGAGTAGCACCGGGTGACGTTTTTTGTCCTGTCGGCACTTATATCTTATTCCATCTCATTTCTAATATGTGATTACAAACAGATTCAGATTACAAACAGAACACGAAACAAATTTGTGTTGCCTGTAAGCTTTATGCATCTGGGTGATTTGGCTGCGTCAAAGACAAATAGCAGGTATATTTGTGGAGCGGTAGACAGTAAAAGGAAGTTAGCGGGCTAGATAGTGTCAGGTATGCCAGTGTTGGTTGATGGGACTCTGTTCTCCCCTCCTGGCTGCTTTCTCACTCGTACCTAACACATCAGTATCTCCAGATTAGTTCTGACATGTGGACAGTTGTGTGTACTTGGTGTTGGATCTCAGAGTGCAATGTTTTCTTAACTGTGGCATTGCCTTTTTTGATGCAAATTCAAATCAGACTGATTAGAAGTTCTGCCTGGCTGCAGCTCTATGTTTAAGTGGTGGCTCTGAATGCAGAATGCCTCTTAAAGAGGACCGTTGAGCTTTTCTTACGGAAAGCAGGCATAGATGACTCCTGCTCTGGGATCTAAAAACACAAGGACTGTTCAAAAATCTTTGTCATTTTATTTGAAAAAATTGAAGAGAAATGCAATTTTCTTTTAGGTGTCTTCTGGAAAACTGCAACTAACAGGAGTTTCTTTCTAGCAGTTTTGGAATGACTCTGGTTAGCAGTCAGGCAAGTGCTGCTGTTCTCAGCCTTGATCAATTGCAAAAGGAGAGCTAGCAAATGGGATGTCATTGCTGTCAGTCCATTCCCACTGAAAACTGAGTGTCTGACAAGTTCAATTCCACAGAGATGAAAATCCTGAGCAAGGAGAGAGCAAATAAATGAGGGAGGCATGTTCATCACTTTCCAGCTAAACTGCGTGAAATTCTGCAGCTGAGTATTAGAGCAGGTTGCTGGGGTACCTTTCTGTAGAACACACATTCCCACTCCTGTTAGGCACCTCGTGCTGAGCCTGAAGCTGTTATATGAGGTATGCTTGTCAAGGAAGGGGGAAGAAGTAGTTTTGCTCAAAATGGAGAGCATATCCTTTTTCCTATATGTGAATGAAGCCTTGACCTATATTGGAGATACGTGAGTTGTCATGGCAATGCAATACTCCTTCAAAGGAGAAGATGTGTTGCATGGGCTGGAACTAAAGCTTCCCGAGCAGTTCTTGAATCCCATGGCAGATGTGGTGCTGGTCCTGTACAGACAAGAGCCCTGCAAGTGAGCCATACTCAGAATGAGATGTCTCGTTAAATAGTGGTTGTATTTGCAATCAAAATTTAAACTTCTAAAAAATAATAATAATAATAGTTTCCCTGTGTTCTTTAGGTGGAAATCCTGGAGCAATCAAGTAACATCACAGTTGGTTACTATGTTACACGAGGGAGACTGGTTTTTATACCAGCTGCTGTAATTGAAAGACTAATTGCCTATGGTATTAGCAATGCCACAGCAGACTTAAAGCAACACGTTCTGAGTCTTCAGTCCATTGTGGCCCTGGCAATGCCATGGAAGCCACTTCCTGCGTACCACTTCCAGCTGAAGACAGGTGAGTGATGGCCAGCTTAGGTTGACAGTTGTGTGTTTTGTTAGAGGTCCCGTGCAGAGGGGTGATGTTTGTCTGTCTCTGCGCTGTCTTGCTTCCTCCCCAGTCTCCAGTGCTACACCACAACAAGAAACAGCAAGACAGCCTGTGCTTTGATTTCACCTACATGGTGACAATGCCTCCAGTGCCAGAAGGACTGCTGTTAGTTTAGGAGGAGTGCTGCCTTCCGAAATCACTGCCTCAGCTCTGTAAAACAACAATTTCAATTATTAAGAGACTTCTTATATGTTCTTATGTATTTATGTACGTATACATTAAATATATATTCATAGCACAAACAGAATGAGAATCGATATTAGAACTTATTGTATCTTGTAAAAGCCAATGGCTTGCAAGGTTTTAGAGTGTAACTTCTGTTTCGGTACGGCTTTCACTTACTGCCCAGCTGTGAGTAAACATGCAGTGTGCTGGTCTTACCATTTTATGCATCAGTACCATGCTTAAATGATATAAAATGATCTTATGTGGCACTATTCACCTGCTTAACTTGTATGCTAACCATGTTGCAGTTGGGCATCACAGAGGCTATGCAACTAAGCATATTTGGTCTTCACAGAAATGCACTGTTACTTTTCCAGAGCTGCAGTTTGTAAGTCAAACAGATAATATACAGTCATGCAGATTTGTTCAGACGATGGAGCAAAGGTTACAGAGAGCATTTCAAGATGCTGAAAGAAAGGTCTGGAACACCAGCAACAACCTAACAGTTCAGGTACAGCATTGCCTGCTTTGCCAGTGCTTGTTGCTGAAGTTTCTGGGTTATTATTTGTTATGCACGTACTTGTATTTCAATAGAATATATTTCAACTTAATGTCTTTGTCAGTCAGTGTGGCAGTAAGTTTATGCCTTCCTCTGAAATGAGATAGTTTTGTTTATTAGAAGTAAACTTATAAATACAAGATTTATAGAAAGACTGCTGTTTTGAAATTCAAATAGAGATGAAGGATAAGGTATTTTTCCAGCTTTATATTTTTACTGAATATTCAGGCACCCTTTCTGCCTGCTCCAGTGATTCTTTGCTGTATTTTTTTATTATTTTTTACTGAACTGGAACGAGACTACTCATTATTTCTTCACCTCTTTTTCAGATTTTGAATACCTCCAAAGTCTCTCAAGCTGTCACTCTGTTTTATGTAGTCAACAATCGAAGCACAACTTTAAATGGCACGATTTCCAGCAACCTTCTTAATCAGCTGTCAGCTGAGCTGGTGGGTTTCTATCTAACCTACCCACCTCTCACCATTGCAGAGTGTAAGTATGTGCTACTCAGCACACACCTGTAGGATCAACCACTACCAAGCATTCCTATTGCAAAATACCTTCAGCTTGACGCTTGCAGATCATATATTATTTTGATGATAACTTTGTTGTTTTAAACTTAAGAAAAAGAATGAAGTGGGTGGGAACTTAAAAGTTGTGGGTTTGGTTTTTTTTGTTTTTTTTTTGTTTTTTTTTGTTTTTTTTTTTGTGGTTTTTTTGTGGTTTTTGGGTTTTTTTTGGTGTGTTTTTGGGGTTTTTGGGGTTTTTGGGGTTTTTGGGGTTTTTGGGGT